CCGGGGGTTCAAATCCCAAAGGGGGGGAACGGGGGGGGGAAAGTGGGGGGGGGGGGTTTGTACATTGGGGACGGGGCATTTGAGGAACAGCTGGAGGAGTAAAACAGTTCATGGCTTCGGCAAATTTGCTTCTTACAAGATTTTATTGTTTTCGAACAAGAAAACTTGAGTGAAGAAGCAAGACCTGAGGCTTCTGGGTTCTCCTCTGTCGGGGGCCGCGGCCCGCGGGTGGCCGGGCACGCCTCCAGCCGCGACGTTTTTCAGCCTTCTGTCCCGCCCGTGGGTGGCCGGGCGTTGCGGCCGCTCTCCTTTTGGAGAGAAGTTGTTTTCTACACCCCAGGCAATCGTTCCTTAAATCTCCTGCGGGCTTTCCTCTGTTGACTTCCCATTTGCGCGTGAGCTCAGCCTTTTAAATAACCCCGGTTTTGTGTAAGATTGTCCTCTGTTATTTGTCCTTAATTAAACGCGCTGAGAGCTGTAATCGAGCCCCGGTTCCTTTCGTGCCTCCTTGCTAATTTTAGATGTGCCTAAAATCAGTTGATGTCGCTGTCACGGTTATTGATCTCGGGGCCGGCAGTAGAGCAGTTGATGAGTTGGAAAAGCCATTTTTCCTTAAAACAGCGTTTGGAGGAGACAGCTTGCTTTAGCCGGGTGCTGTTCTCCGCCAGATCGGCGGGCTTTGCGCGGCTTGGCTCTGGTCGTGTTGGATTCTCCCCGTGCCCCCAGGCGCGGCTGAAGGGGCACGTTTAAATTCCGTATTTTTTTTCCCCGAGGAGCCCCTGCCGCGTCTTGGACAGGAATTTCTGCCCCAGCTTGTGCTCTCTGCCCGGCACAGGGCGCCTCGCTCCCGGCTTATCGCTCCTTGCGCGTTGCCGGTGCCCTCAGACCCTGCCTGGCACGGAAACGGGCCACCGTGCCGGCTCCGGTTAAGCCATCCCCCGGCCCAAAGACAGGCTCCTGCTGCGAAAATAATCGGAGTTTATTGTCGAGCGGCTTTGTGGCGGCGCAGGGCCCTGGTGTCCCCCCCGACCCCCTTCTGGGGGTCCCCTTGCTCTGCCGCGGGTCCGGCCTGGCCTCCCCGTCACATGAAGCTCTCCACCGTCCTGCGGCACAGCTCGCACCGCCGGCCCC